ATTATATATTACGATATAAAATATATCTATAAATGTGTGTGCGTGCGTGCGTGCGTGCGTGCGTGCGTGCTTGCTTGCGTGCGTGCGTGCGTGCATGCATGTGTGCGCGCGCGCATGTGTGCGCGCGCGCATGTGTGCTATGTTTATATATGTATGTATGTGTGTGTGTGTGTGTGCGTGCGTGCGTGCGTGTGTCTGTGTGTGCGTGTGTGTGTTCGTGCGTGCGTGCGTGCGCGCGCGTGTATGTTCATTCATTCAGCAGCCGTAGCCCTGGCTGCCGGCGACGGCCGCTGTTTGTTTTAACCTGCGCAACGCGGGGGCTGGCCGCGGCGACACGTCGCCGGCAACCCCGCACGCGGGCATGACAGGTCTGACTGGTTTCCAGGCGCGCATCGCAGTCGTGCCGGATTCAGTCACTGTTCCAAGAATATAGAGACTATATACTATATTATTTCTATGGTTCCAAGCTGCTCTCTCATCGTCATGCGCGGTGGTGTCTTTTTCTTATACAAATTGCGCTGCGCCAATATACGCGGCGCTGATTGGCTGCTTCGCATCGCGCTGGCGCAAGCGCAATGTGACAGTTTCGTGTAATTTTGTATAATTTCCGCGCGATACTACGCGACAGTGGTGACGAACAAGGCTGTTATGCGAGCAGACGAACGGCTTGCATGTCCATGCAGTAGCGTTCGTCTGCGATCGACGTAGGGCGCAGGCGTGCGCTGCACTGTCCATGCATGGTTTATGCACTCTCGCTCGTTTTCTGTTTTATAGATCTCGACTGATTTTAATCCGGAGAGAAACTGCAGCGAATGCTATGCGCTGCAGCATTTCAAGAAAGGCGAACAGGTAAAGGGAGTGTGCGATCGTAGGGGGTGGGGGAGGGACGTCGGTGGAGCTATTTTTTGAACGAGGTTCTTTTGATATCCGTTGAAAAATAACGCAAGAACGGGAAATGGTATATGTATGTAGCTGCGTGATTCTGATGTAATGTTAACGAGGAAAATCCTAGTAGATACTGTCTAAACTGAGCTAACTGCAACTAAAACTGTAAACTAGACAGGTGAATTGACCTTGTGAAATTCCAACAGGAAGCCAATCTCAAAATCGAACTGCATAAATCTCCATGGGAAATGGGAAATTCTCAATTGGTAAAAGTAAATCGAACTTAAATTTTAAAACTATTTTTTGGTGAAAATAGAATTGTGTAGTCAATGCGATGGGAATCGTGACTACGAGTAATGCATTATGAGGCCCTCGTGGCCTTATGATGCGCTGCCGGGCAGCCAGCCTAGCAGCTGATCGCAATCACTGCATGTATAGTGTAGAATCAGCCGTAGCTTTTCTCATGTACTGCGTCGGAAACAAGCCGGAGTCTGTGTGACGGCGCATGTATTACGCCTACTCACAATACCCGCTTTACCCGTGTCTCCCAAGATGTCGTCGTGTTGCTTATCACAGCGAACATCTGCCCCTGAACTAGCCATTCTTCCCCTGCTGCTAGCATTGGGACCGTCTCTAGTCGCGGCTTTAGTATGGAGACGAGTATAGAGTGCTGCGCGTGTGGACGTTGAAACGTCGCTTCACGTCCCGCCGACGACGACGCATTACTCGACGCGCTTTGTCGAGGAAAGTGGCTGCGATCATGCAACAAACAGATCAAGCAAGAAACAGCGCGGGCGGGTAGGCGAGCAAGCGTACCTCTCGCGTTCGTCGTCGCGTCAGCTCGATCGGCCGAACCCGACATGCGTTTATTATTCGCTGTCATGGCCGTGTCTCCCAGCTCCCCCCCCCGCACTAGCTGCGTCGGCCTTTGTCGCCGCACGCCTTCACTGCGCAACATCGCAGCACCGAGCGGTCCCGCGCTGCTCCTTTATCTATGAATAGATTCTAATCTATCGTTTTACGACTGTTTTTTTATTCCCTCTATCGGGCGAAGAGGCAAGAAAACCTCGCAGCCGTTTTAGCTCGGCGGCGGCGTTCTTTCTCGGGCGGCTGAGATCGTATCGCGGGTTTTACGGCCTCGGCGTGGGCCGCTGTGCGCGGGGCGAAGGCTCGTAACAATGCAGCCCGCATTCCGCCGGCCCGCGCAATGAGCGGCCGCTGCTTAGCTTATCGATGCCATTTTCTTCTTCTTCTTCTTCTTCTTCTTCTTCTTCTTCTTCTTCTTCTTCTTCTTCTTCTTCTTCTTCTTCTTACATAAACACTTTGTTATTGATGAGCGCTGTAAATTTACACGTACACTAAGTGTCTGTCGAACGTTAGAAGCTTAGGGCCATGTAAATCCTATGCAAATACCTTTTGATTTAGACTTGCGATTGTGCCCCTGTTTTGTTCACGAATGTTTCTTTGTGTAATAGAATACGAATAATGAGATAGCATCGATTTCAACCTCAGTTAAACGAGTAACAGGAAATTACATTTGATATTTGTAGAGTTAGCTCATCTGAAATAGTTAAATAAAGTTTAAAGAATAATTATGGGAGCGCTCCATTCTTGCATCAACACACATCTTCATCTACGGTGGTCTTATTAGAATTATGGGAGAGAAATCTGAAAAGGTATCTCAACGTGGAAAGTTTAGATCCGAATTGAAAGCGCGTATGTAGAGACCATGGTGTTTATATTTAAATAGATAATAATAATACACAATAAGTGGTAATTGTAGATATAACGTCATTGGTTGAAGCTTTCTAATCTTGGCGTGTAAAGGCAGAGTTTAGGATCTATGAATCCTAGAACTTTTATCACATACGCGTATGAGGATAGATAGGTAGGTAGGAGGTAGGTAGGTAGGTAGGTAGGTAGGTAGGTAGGTAGGTAGGTAGGG